TTATTATTATTATTATTATTATTATTATTATTATTATTATTATTATTATTATTATTATTATTATTATTATTATTATTATTATTATTATCATCACTAAGTCACTTGAGTAAACGACTTCAAACTGGACTCTAAAACCCTCAACTATGGGCCCTCCAAAAACAATCAGATTTGTAATTTGTAATGTGCCCTAAGATCATTAACTATAGAAGAGAAAAAAATTCATACCAATTGTATTTTATTAATTTAATCTAAGGTTTACAGGAAAACGTAATACAGTTTGTTTTACTTTTTCCCAGCCCCTATTCACCCCACAGCAAAGCAGAATTTGGCAGCTTCTTGGGAGAAAAGCTTGTACATTTATAAGCCTTCTCACCGCTGTGGCTCTTTTGATGAAAAGGAAACTCTCCCTCTGAAGCTCTTTCCATGCTATCTACATTTACATAAGATAACTTTTATTGTCATTTTTATACTGTGGGCACAATGGCACACATCAAAAATGAAATTTAGTTGCCCGCTCTCAAAGTGAAACACATACATGACACACACCTAAACATACTATGAACAACATATACGTGGATTTTTGGTGAGGATTCTGTGGCATAAAGACACTTTGATTGAAAAATACTTTCTCGTTCCTATTGCCCATCTCTTATCCCTATTTTACACAGTAGAAACAAATCGAGTTCAATTATTTTCATGTCCAAAAAGAAGTAACAGTTTTGTGTTTTGCGGCATACTCAGATGTAGAAAATGTCTCCCACGCATCCGTGGAGTGCTTATCCTAACTATTTCTGGGCCCAGTTTCCAAAATTCCCTTTCCTTTGCTGATACTTTAGTTTTATGGTAGCACACTTTAAGTTCTCTCTTTACTCTTATTTTGGAGCCAACATGAGAGATAGTAAGGAAAGATCACAACATAGTTAGGACACAGAACCTACGAGTTGCATCTTCTGCTTCAGCATCACTATAACCCCAGTCTCCTTATGGTTTTCTTTCTCAGCTATTACTTACACAAAGTGAAGCAGGTTGGAAAGGTGAATAGTGACAAGATTAAGGAAAGGAAAGCTCCAACTATAATAGGGGATTCAGAACCAATTGCATTTTTACATGCAACTCTGCTCTAGTGAATATATTCATCATTTCTTGAAATGGAAGAGATCAACCCCGACTGCTCTTTAGAAGGCCAGATCCTGAAGCTGAAACTCAAATACTTTGGCCACCTAATGAGAAGGAAGGACTCACTGGAGAAGGGCCTAATGCTGGGAAAGATCGAGGGCAAGAGAAGAAGGGGACGACAGAGGATGAGGTGGCTGGATGGAGTCACTGAAGCAGTAGGCGTGAACTTAAATGGACTCCAGAAGATGGTAGAGGACAGGAAGACCTGGAGGAACGTTGTCCATGGGGTCGCGATGGATCAGACACTACTTCGCAATTAACAACAATCACTTAAATATTGACATCTATACATCACTTTCAGGCCAATTAATGCCCTTAATCTCCACTGGTTCTCATTTTTGACTTAGATACTCATTTTTGACTTAGATACCTACTTAGCTAAAAGCATAAGAAAGCCTTCACCTTGTCTTATTTGGATCATATCGAAATAGGTCTAGTATTTATAAGGATTATTATGCAAGCAGACCCTTGCACTAGATTTTAGATTACTATTCCTGTTGAGGCTCCTCCCACACTGAACTGATAAGGCTACTCCTGTGTGATTCCATTCATGTAAAACTCTTCCAGGACTCGATGTATTCATATTGTTTTTCCCAATTGGATCTTATTATGGTAAGGGAAACACTACCTCTGAGTTCTTTCCGCATTCCATGCAGTTGTAATGATTCTCCCGAGGGTGGGAGAAATAAGGGAAACATTATCACTGAAACACTTTCCACACTCCAAGGCATTTATGTGATTTATCCCGTATGGAACATCTTATGGGAAGTAAGCTGACCTCTGAAATTAAAGGTCTTTCTACACTCCATGCATTTATGTGGCTGCTCCCCTTTGTGGATCTTGCTATAGGGACTAAGGTAATCATTCCAAGTAAAGGTTTTTCCACACTCCATGCATTTAAATGGCTTCTCCCATGTGGATCCTTTTGTGCAAAGTAAGTTCACTTCTATCAGGAAAGGTGTTTCCATGCTCCATACATTTGTGTGGTTTCTCCTCTGTATGGGTCATCTTTTGGGAAATAAGATGAAATCTTTGAGTAAAGGTCTTTCCAAACTCCATGCATGAACATCTTTTTTTT